ATATTGAAAATATTTTGAAATTGAAATCAATATTGATATCTAATAAAAATCATTTAAAAGTTTGTTATCAATTTTTTTTAAAATATAATTTTAAATTATAACAATTAAATGAATTCAAAAGAAATAATTTCATCTAAAACGGAAACAAAAAATAATAATAAAAATACTCATGCATTTTGCATTAAAGATAATCATTCTAACAATCTCCTATATAATGAGCATATATATATTATTTATATATTATATGATACGTACTCCAAAAATAGCTTGATCGGGCACGAATCTCGAAGCAAAAGCTAGTTGAAAAACTTCAAAAATTAATTCAGAGAGCACCCAACTCCAGATTTCAGCGAGCTTACAGTCAAACTGAGCGTTACGGAAATACCAACCCAAGACACCAAGATCAACCCAATCCGAGCTTAAATGAGTGCCGAATCAAGGGCTCAAAGCGATGTTGGAAGGTTCAAACTGCAATTGAGTTACCAAGCGGACTCCGGATTTTGACCGAGCTTATACTCGAATCGAAGGGCTCGACGAGACAAATCCAACGAGCCCAAGATCACAGAATTCCGACATCACTAAGGCCTTCAAATGTCCATGAACGTGCATGATCGTAGTATTCAATATCGGGACCACTCCCTATCGCCCTGATCTCATGCCTTTTTTACGGATCATGCGCACTCCAGAAAATCTATAAAAAGAGCCCTCATTTCCATAGAGGGGGTCCAAGCAAGAAGAGAAGAGGAGAAGAGGAGGAAGAAGCTCTCCTCGACACTCGCGGAACATCACCGACCACCGCCAGAGCCTCGCCGGACCACCGCCAGAGCCTCGCCGGACCACCGCCGTAGCCCGCCGCGACCACGCCGCCAGTTTCTCCGCACCACCATCTCCAGGCCCGACGTTTAGGCCCGATGTTTAAGCCGACCGTTCTACTAAAGGTCGACATTCAGGCCGACGTTCTGCTGAAGACCCGACGTCCTGCTTAAGGCCCGACGTTCATCTACGCCTGTTGAAGCACCGGTGTCCTGCTTAAGGCCCGACGTCAGGCCCTACGTCCTGCTGAAGACCCGGCGTCCTGCTAAGGCCGACGTTCAGTCCCTACGTCCTGCTGAGACCCGCGTCCTGCTTAAGGCCGACATTCAGTCCCTACGTCCTCCTGAAGACCGACATCCTGCCTTAAAGCCGCATTCAGACCCCGGCTGACCTACGGTCTAGCCTGCCGACTAACGGTCCTTCAGGCCAAACAAACATTATATGTAACTCTTACATGTAATGCAATTTATATGATGTACATGCGACATCAATCCAAGGCCTTCTCCTAAGGAAGGGCCTCATTTGAATCGACTACAAATACTAGTGATTCATTCAAAACCGGGCCAGACCCCGTGGTTTTTCTCCCTTTCAGGGGTTTTCCACGTAAAAACTTTGTGTCTCTTCTGAACGCTACACCCTCTCACTTATCTGATTGTGTGCTGGATCTTCGTTTAACGCTAAGACGTTAAACTATTATATTTCTCTACCGCCGTGAATATTCCAGGACGCAACAATAATATATATAAATATATATTATATATTATATATATATATATATATATATATATATATATATATAATTTTGATTAGGATAATTAAAAACTTTAATTTGATAATCTAATTATTAGAAGCAAAACATGTTCAATTAAAATAAATTAAGCTTATCAATTCATTAATGCATGAAGAGAAAACTTTATAATTATAACATTTAATTAGTTGCTATTTAAATTATTAAACTTATGAGCATTCCAATAACTTGTATAATTTAATAAAATATTAACTAATTTTAATAATAAGTATAAATAATAGTATAATACATTATTTAGTTGATTAATCAATAATTGAATTTAAGTTTTCCCAAAAACTTCTTAGTATTTTGTGATAGCTTAGTAATTAGGTGGCAACAGTTGTTAGTGTACTAGCGATCAAATGATAAAATTTATAGGAGATTATGAAATTTTAATCTAGTTGTACGGAGCTAGGATGATCATGTGTCCAAAAGTCTTAAAATTGCTATGTTTTGTAAGAAACAATGAATAGACGGGAGGAAAATGAAGCATGGTGTCAATATTTGTATTTGTTGGGTGATCTCTTTTAAACTAAATCTTAGAGTGTCAAAATCGACAAAGTCTTCGATCTACACCTAGTCACAAAATCAATATCAAACTTCTCTTAAGACTCCCAAATTAGGCTAGCCCCAATGACATAGACTAGTACTATTATAATTCACAGTCTATTATGTCACATGGATGATCTTAATAGATCAAGAGAAATGAGATATTTCAATAATAGCATTCATCCACTAGTTATGCTCAGTAGAGAGAAGAAAAACTGCTACTTTATATGTCAAATTAACCTGCTAGTCACTAACCTCTATGATAGTCACCAACTTTCTCTTTAAAAGAATTCTAATTTTTAACTATCTCCTTTGATATATCTTTTAGTACTTATTATCGACCAAGTAATTGGGGAATCCATTTGTAAGTAATTACCAAATATAAATGTCATCTTTGATCATCCCATTAGGAATTTCTTCGATCTCCAATTTCATAACTAATTGAATAAGCGAGAAGAATGATTAATAATTTAATATCTTACAATCATTAATTTATTTCTATTTTAATAGAGTAATGTGTGACAATATGTATGAGTTAGTAGGTGTGAATAAAAACTTGAATTTTTAAGCTACCAATCTTAAAAATAAAAATCACATCTAATTTAAATATATAGATCAAAGTAGTTGAGGGAAATTAGCTATTTCTAATACTCTCCCACTTAAAGGCTGAATTTTTTATGTATTATGAGGAGAAACATGGCTATCTATATGTGGAGTCCCCTCTCAATCCTACATAGGTTAATTGAAGCCTTAAAATGCCACTACCTTAATAATAAATTTATCATCATTAACTACTATATTTTTCTTCATTAACTTACTCTTCTTGATCCTAAAATAATGCGTGCCCTATAATGCTCATATTTCCTTTGAAAGTTCCCCGGTGATATAAACATTAACTAATATTGCACTTCTACAATTAGCAAAGATAGATTTAATAGTTACTTCCGTTATTTTATGTTTGGCATCATATACATAATACTACTTTTACTTCTCTATATTATTATGATAACACCGTTAATCACTTTTCAAATATTAGTATAGAATGTTGAGATATATTCGTCTTCAATATGTAGCCTTATATCTTATAACATTGTAAAGCTTTCATGCAGTCTCATCATCAATTTTGATTCAAATATGACAAATGCTCTTAACATTAAAGAGTTCATTATCATTAAGATGAACATTTTACAATACCAAACAGAATAATTAGATATAAACTCTTTATATGAAGTTGAAAGAAAAAAAAAAACACCATAGTCCCAAATCAAGTACTCCATATATATAAGGCTCTCTTCTTTAAAGACCATTGCTTTATTACTCTATGATAACTTGCGCTATCATGAACTTTTGATTGGTACCTTAATTATTGAGACTTGTAAAGACCATTATTATTGTCTTTTATTTCACTTATTCCTCTTTTCCCAATAAATACTTCATATGATTCTCATCTCATATGATGTCCTGAATTAAGATAAAGTAAGGTCATTAGATTGAAGTTATTAATATGCAAAGTAAAGGAAAGACCTTCAACTATAAGGAAAATTATTACGTGCAGCATCATGAGGTGAATTCGAACGCGTCATGTCACCGGCGGTCAGTGCAACACAACAAGTCAGTCAGGATCCAGTGCATCCGGTTGACGTGGCGCGTTCGAATTTTCATGTGGATGAGCCGGACACCACGTAATAATCTCTCCAACTATGATGTGGTTAGAAAATTCTTATTATATAGATATTGTACATGGCTGAGGGCTTCTCATACATGTCAGTAGCGTTTTCATCGTGGTAGCTGTGATCCTTTTATGTGATATTTTAAAAGCAATATTCTTTACCAATGACTTCCATGAAACTCCCAATGCATGTTTGTCCAGTAGATCTTAATCTTCTTGGCTGATAATGGTTAGCTTCCACTCACAGAGTGGCAGATCTTTTATTTTTATTTTATTTTTTGGTACAGTACATTGATCCTCAATCTGTATCTTCCACTAACAAATGTTCTTGTCATTAAATCAATCGATAATCACTTTCACATATTTCTATGCTATTGCTTCCTCTTTCTCACATAACTCCAAAGTGTCAAGCTCTTAGATTAAAACTTCGTTTGAAATGATTTTCTTAATGCTTTTAAAATAGCCTTTTAATATAAAATTAAAAATTTTAACTGTAAAATTATTTTAAGAAGCAGCAAGAAGATCATCCCAAACAAATCTAAACCCTAAAACTTAGGGTATTGAGTCTAGCACTTATATAATTTTTTTTTTTTTTTAAGTCTTACAGTATTGTGGCTGTCTTAACTGCCAAATTATGAAAATAGGACAGCTTGTGATTATTAAAACCGTTAAGATTTTATTTGGGACGACTTTCTTATTGTTTCTTAATTGAAGCAAAACCTAAATCTTAAGGCTTTAACTTTTCAGTGATTATGATTTTGTTTGGGATGTTACTACTTAAACTAACATTTTAGTTCAAAGAATTAACAAGAAAGCTGTCCCAAAGAAAGACTATAGCGGCAGCGACAATTAGCATTGCGAAATATCTTTCTTATCTATTTAAAAATCGTTGCTGAAAAGCTTGTACTGGATTGCAAATAGAGCCGTTTGGCAGTGGATTTAAAACTGTTGCGAAGTCATTTTTAGAGTTAAACCAGCCTCATAAGTTTCTTAGAACTGCCACTACACCCTTTTTTTTCCTAGAGTACTATATAAATAACACAAAAGAGTTTTATATATACTGGAACAATCACGTACGTACTTCCTTGTTATTTCATTCAACGAAACTAAACATGCAAATGCCCAACAAGAAGATAACAACAACGATTAACCAAACAAAGCATGCAAGAACAAACCACTTATCTACTTGTAATGAGCGTACAGGTCGAAGTTATCCACCAGCTCCTGAGAAGAACCTGTCTCCGGATCACCATACACTCCCATATAATACCCTCCCATTTCACCACCCGTTGCAGCACCCCCGTAGACTCCAAAATGGTGGTGTTGGTGCTGGTGGTGGTGGTGATGGTGAGGCTCCGTTGCCGGGAAATGATACGCCGCCTGCAGCTGCGGCAACCCATACACCCCAACAGCCGGCGAGTTATCCACACCACCCTCTGCGGCAGCCCGCTTGAGCTGGATCGGCTCACCGCGGATAGAGCCGCGGTGATCCCCCTCGTGCTCGCGGTATCGTTGGAGGTGAACACTGAGGGGCTCAACGTAGTCATCGAAGCCGAGCTTGCTCATCGCCCACAGCACGTCTTCGGCGGTGATAGTCTTCCGCTGCTCTCGCTGACACCTCTCGTTGGCTTCGCTGGTGATGAAGCTTATGTACTCCGAAACGCACTCCTGAATAGTCTCTTTGGCGTCATCCGAAATCTTGGCGTGCGTTGGGAGAACCTTTCGCATTATCCTTATCACGTTCGCAATCGGCATGAACCGGTCTTGCTCGCGCACCGTGCATTGGTTGCCGGCGCCACCGCTTCCGCCACCACCAACTCCGCCGCCGATATGATTGTTGATACACGGGTTCATGGCGGCTTGGCTGGTTGGTTGCCTGTGCTGCTTAGGGTCTCTAGAAGCTTAAATAAATTGCTTGGCGTTGGGAGGAGGAGCGAAGGAGGCGTTTTTCAGGCGTTGGGACCATGCAATCTGGCTTTATTATTTGAACTATGAAAAGTTTTCAATTTCTGTCCAGGTGCGTGACGCGTTAAATTTCTTGTTCAGTAGTAACGTTCGCCTGACTTTCTTTGGCTTATATTGTGGGGTCCACACTGACCCCTCTTTTTCTTCATGCTTGTTTGGAAACTCTGTTCGTTTAACCTCGATTCATCCGTCATATAATACTATATATATAATTGGAAAAATTTTAATATTAAGCATAAATTGTATTAAGAGCTTGAGCATATTAAAAAAATTTAAAAATATGCAAAATCACTCGTTTAACTCGCGACTTACGAGTCTAGTCAGCATTCAAACAAATTAAAAAAAAAAATTAAAAATAAAATAAAATTACTGTAGCAAGTAGCCTATTAAACAAACGACATGCTATAGTAATTTTATTTTTATATTAAATTATTTTAGAAAATTTTTAATTTTTAATTTCTCACTACTAATACGGGCAAATAAAAATATGTTATCTTAACATAAATTTGTGCATTTTATCCACCGCTCATCTCAAACACGTTAAAAAATAATAATATTGTACTGTAGCAAGTCGTCCGTTAAACGACAAATCTTTTTATTTGTCATTCCTTAGGTCTCTGCTTCTCCAAAAAAGATATTAAATAAAAAATAAAAATATTTGTTTGAAGAGAAAAGTAAGGAGAAATCAAAGGGAAAAGCTCCCAATAGTAAAAATAGTTGGTGGTGAAATCCTAATGTGCAAGAAAAAATTAAAAATAAGAAGCTTTGTTATAAAAATTGGTTTAATTTTAAAAATTCTGATAATTGGGAAATATATGAAGTGGCTCGTAAGGATGCTAAGAAAGCAATATGCGATGCAAAGGCATTAGCTTTTAGTGATTTATATAATAGATTAGATACTAAAGATGGAGAAAGATATATGTATAAGTTAGCCAAACAAAGAGATAGGAGTAGTAAGGATTTAGTTCAAGTGAAGTATATTAAAGATGAAGATAATCAAGGGAAATCATAGTTGGGTGAAGAGTTACCAATAAGTGGGCTCATCTGATTAATGCATCAGCGATTTTATTCATAATTTCAGCTTTGTATTGAAGATGAAATGTATATTCTTGTAAGAAGAATGTCCACTTAGCATGTCATCGATTCAATTTTTTTAGATCCTAAATATCAGAGAGCTTTGTAATCAGAGTTTAGCACAAATTCCCTTTGAATAAAATAATGTCTTTAGAATTTTAGGGCCCGGAAAATCGCATAGAACTCAACACCGTAAGTCGAGTATCGGGATCAGGTATCATTGAGTTTTTCTCTAAAAAAAGTAACAGGTCGACCCTCTTAACTAAAGATAGCTCCAACGCCTATATGGGATGCATCATAATTTACTTCAAACATTTTGTCAAAATCAGGTAACCTAAGAACAGGTGCTTGAATTATTTTTATTTTAATCAGATGAAATGCTTTTTCAAATTCAAGGGTCCACCTAAAAGTTCCCTTTTTAAGACAATCAATGATGGGTGAAAACAAAATATTGAAATTTTTCATGAATCTTCGATAAAAAGAAGTTAATCCATAAAATCCTCTGACTTAACTAATAGTTTTCAAAGTCGGACAACTTTGAATTGCTTCAATTTTAATGGGGTCCACTTTAATACTATCAACAGAGACAATATATCCAAGGAAAGTCAAGCTATGAGTCATGAAAGAGCACTTTTTTAAGTTGATGTATATGTTTTGTTCTCTTAAAGGTTAAAGGACTTGTTTCACATGTTTACGATGATCATTGGGACAAGTGCTATAAATCAGGATATCATCAAAGTAAACCACAACAAATTTTTCAATAAAGGAACGTAAGATATGATTCATGGTTTGGGAATGGTTAGAAAGCAAAATCATTAGGATATAATTCTAATTTCCAAAAATAAATAGCAATGATATGTCACATAAAAACTCATTAGTCAGCAGCACTGTCATTATTAAGGGTTCTTCATTTAAATCATCATTATGATGAACTGCTCTCTCCCCTTCCTCCTCTCCTATAGAGTCCAATATCGGGCATTTACTTCAAGATTTATGAAAGTTTTAATACATATAGCGTGAGGCGTAAGCCTAATGCAGTGAAGCGAGGCGGCGCAAGCCTCATAAAAAAACTCGAGGCGTAAGCATCGAGGCGTTTTTTACTGGAATTGCGCAAAGGCGGCCTCAAGTCGAGCCTCATATTGCGCAATTTTAAACCATGGGTTAGAGAACTTGTTTCACATGTTTACGATGATCATTGGGACAAGTGCTATAAATCAGGATATCATCAAAGTAAACCATAACAAATTTTTCAATAAAGGAACGTAAGATATGATTCATGGTTTGGGAATGGTTAGAAAGCAAAAAATTTCCCTGCATTTTCTCTTTCATTCTAACCTAGGTTTGAATTTTCTCTTTGCCTCTCCTTATTCTATTATTTTGAAGGGTTTTCCACCAAGTTAATGCATGTCCAGTCAGTTTAAACAGTTTAAACTAGCCAACCTACTTTTTTGTTTTCGATAATATCTTTTCATTCAAAAAATTGTTCCATTCTCTCAACCCATTAAGGAATTGTTCAGGTTATAATTTGTCTTCAAAGTCATTAAAGTCGATTTTAATCTCATGATCCCATTGTCTATTGTTTCTGTTTTGGTTTCGTGGAGCTTCATCATCACTTCCATTGTTTTGGCCATGAACTTTGTTTACATTTAGAGCAGCCATGGTATTAGCTAATGTTTCCAATTATTGTTGTAAGTTAAATATTTGTTGCAAAATCGTTTATTGTCAATCCACTTGTTGATGTTTTGATTGTCCTTTTTGTTAATAGAAAGGAAGTACAAACACGACAACCTAATGCTCTGATACCAAATTGATGCAACCTAAAGTTTCTAAACCTTTTAGAAGAACACTTGGTATGCAAATAATCACTTCCTTTCAATAAAACTTAAAGAAACACAAATTGATAGAGACTTAAAAGAAAACACATACAAGAAAATGATTAGGAAATCAAACAAACTAACAAAAACATGAAATATAAAACCCTCAGAACAACTGTATTTGGTCACCTCACATGCAAATCTCGAAAATAAGAAATGGTGCTATAAAGAAAGAAAAACCAATAGTTCTGATGTGAAACATAATTGCATGGATGAGTTTCTTAAAGGAAATTTGAACGCTTAATATTCCAAAGCGAAAGACTACCGACGAATACTAATAGAACAGGGCTCAACAATGCTTACCACTCTTAGAGAAGAAAGATACAGGTGATGAGGACATCGATAGAAAAACATGGCTCATCTACCACAAGAGGAGCCGTATATCGACGACCATGATTAGAAGTCTTTATTTATAGTCTATTTTCTGCATTTTATTTATTATTGTATTTTATTTTGTGAGTCTTTCCCAGTTACCCTTATGTTGAGTTATGTGAATATTGTAGCTCGATGGGCATTTTAGTCTTTTGAGTTTTTCATGTTTTGAGGACTATATATTGAGGTCTTGGCTATTGTAGTAGAATGATGATTATAATGAATTAAAGTTCAGTTTTTTCTGAATTGTGTTTGTTTGAGCTTCTTGAGAGAAGAGTGAAGTCCTTAAGAGTAGGGCACGCAACACCAAAAACTAACGTCGTGGCAAGATTCTTGGTTCTATCTTCTCTCCCTTCTCTCCCTTCTCTCCCCACCTTCTTCCATTGGTTGTCAAGCCCTCCAACCCTCTTCCAAACAGCTGGTCGAAATTCCCTGCTACCCCATACAGCCGAGCCACCTCCCCTCTCTTCCATTCCCACTCCCCTACAAGCTCACCCTTCCTCTCCTACCATTGTTGGTCAGCCCCCACTCAATTGCCTTTTGATATTCCTCCACAATTCCTCTTCTCCATTGATTTCCCCAAGGGGTGCTGCCTCCTCCTATTTCTCTCCCCATTAGTTCCACTTTAATTACTGCATTTTTCCATTCCCCATTAATTCCACTTTAATTGCCACCTTTTCCCCTTCCTTATTAACTCCACTTTAATTTCCACCTTTTCCCCTTTCTCATATACTCCATTTTAATTGCCACCCTTTCCCCTTCCCCTTCCCCATTAACTCCACTTTAATTACCACCTTTTTCCATTCCCCATTAATTCCTAAGAGTTATTGCCTTTTCTTATTCCCCCCATTAAATCCTAGTTGTGCTACCTTTTCCCATTCCCCCCATTAATTCCTAGACTAGTTGCTATCTCTTGCAACCGCTATTAACCATCGAAGACCTCCTGTTCAATGGAAACTCACCTACATTCCACCCACTACTTTTTTGGGTAACTTTCTGTTATTCAAAACCTTAAATATTTACTTCTTCTTAGTGTCATTGTTAATATCGTATCAAGTTTTCTTCTGCTAAAATTATTCGAAGAGTGTGAGTGAGGAAACTTCATTGTGATTGTTCTAGTTGTTAATCGTGGAATTTGTGACTTGTGAGTAAGTACCCATTATCTTGATTATTATTTTACTATTCCCCACCAATACTTGTAATTTTTTGTTATTACTTTATTAACAATTGAGAAGTAGCTTAAATCATCCCTTGATTACCATTAATATATAATTGCTAAGTATGTCAATTCATTATTATTCCTAAGTAATTCCTGAATCTAGCATTTGTTTCACATGAACAAGTGGAATGGAAATCATGGAGAGAAGAAGTAGATAGAAGACCGAGACAAAATAGAAGAGGGAAGGTAGAGAAGATAGCTCGCAAGCTACGAAAACACATAAGTTTACCAAGATCACACTTCAATTTTTCTATACCAACACAAAAAAATTAGCCTCATTATATAGGGAAAGAAAAGAGCAGAGGCAATAAATAGGCCTCATAAATGAGCCACTCAATCAGCCAATAAAACACACCCAAAACAGCCAGCATGAAGGAAAGTCAAAACATCATTTATAGGAAACAGTAATGAGCAAAAGACGAGCAGCCAGTGGCAAGGAAACCGAGACAACAGGGAAACTGAGCCAGCATGGAATCTGAGAACTAGCAGGGAATTTGAGAACCAGCAGGGAAACCAAAGAGCTAGCAACAAGGAAACCAAAGGGTCAACATCAGAAAAACCAAAGGGCCAGCAAAAAAACATGATGAAGACTAAAGGAATGAAACAATCTAAGAACACCAAACCCAAGCATAATCATGGGTTGTTTTCCATTATAGGGTAATACAAATAAAAAAACATAAGAGTCCAAATTACATAGAGTACAAATCAGATAAAAATAAAAAAACATAGAATAATAATTCTTAATTGCATTAGAAACATAAGGCATGATTAGTGAAACACCATATAAATGAAAATAAAGCTAAAAGTGGACTTTCATAGTATACTTTTAGAATTTAGAACTGTGGCATGATACATACCGTACTATTCATTATAAAATGCTAGAATGCTGGTTTGAGCCCTCCTCACACCTTGGCCATTTTGCGTACTAGGAAACTTTCATAGCAAAATTCACTCGGAGACAACCAATTAAAAATGTGAGTTAACATTTTCTAATGGCTTGCCTCCTAGTTTTAGGCTTACAAGAATATCATAAGTTCTATCATCAGGCTCCAGTCCCATATCAAGCATTTCATCATGCAATCTGTAGGCCTCTTGGAAATTGCCTTCTCTAAAATATCGAGAGATAAGAATGTTGTAGACAAGAACATTAGGTTGCACGCCTGCCTTATCCATCTGATGCAACATCTTGTAAGCATTTGCAGAATTTCCTTTATCACAAAAAGTCTGTGTCATTGCAGTGAACGTGATAGAATCTGGGACATTACCACTTGCTAACATCTCAGAGTACAGATCTGAAGCAAGAATTAGATTACCAGCTTTTAGTGATCCATCAATTAAGGTTGTATATGTGGCTGTATCACATGCAATTCCTTCTTCCTTCATTCTCCTAAGCAAATCAAATGCAGCTTCCATATTGTTCAATTTTTTATAACCTGACATAAGGCAATTATAGATGACAGCAGTAGGTCCTAGGCCAGCTTTGGAAATCTCATCAAGAAGTAAGAGAGCGCGTTCCATATTTCCCTCGTTACAAAACCCAGCAATAAGCGCATTATAAGCTGCAATATCACACACAAGTTTTTTCCTTCCCATTTCAGTCAACAACTTCTGGGCAAGATCAGTGCAACTACTTTTGCAATAGCCATCTATCAAACAAGTGTAAGTAATAACATTAGGAAGTATACCATCAGCACACATTTTCTGAAAAAATGATGCTGCTACATTCATCATGCCCATTTTGCAAAACCCATCAATGATACTATTATAAGTCCTGCAGCTAGGGATGAACCCCTCCGCCCTAAACTTGTGCAGCAATTCAAATGCTTCCGATATTTGACCGTCTTTGCAGAGGCCATCTATACATACATGATAGGTATGATCATTGCAAGCAATGCCAGCCTCATTCATTTTGGTTAGAAGATCAAAAGCCCTACCAAAGTCCTCTTTTTTCATATACCCATTGATTAAGATTGTATAAGTTCTGACATTGGGTTTGATACCTTTCTCAAACATTTGGGAAAACAACTTAGCTGCTGAATCCATGTCCTTTTGTTTGCAATGGCCAAGCAGAAGATTATTGTAAGAAACTACGGTAGGTTCCACCCCTCTGTCCTCCATCTTAACCCAGAGAGCACAAGCTTCCTGTAACCTACCAGACCGAGATAACCAGTGCATAATATCATTATAGGTAAACACATTTGCAATACCTGAAGCAACTGCCTCATCAAATAAACAAAACGCCTCCTTAGATTTACCACTTTTTAAGAAACCTCGTATAACAGAGTTGGTGATGAAGACGTTAGGAACAAGACCCATCTGCTTCATATCGCAGTAAAGCTCATATGCCTGCTCATGTTTTCCACTTTTATAACAGCCCTCAATCAGAGTTGCATAAGTGACATTATTAGGGTCAATCCCCTCTTCACGAATGGTGGAAAGCAAGCTAAAACCACCATCTAAATCTCCTTGGGCGCAGTATCCCTTCATCAGACTAGTGGCAACAACTAAATTCCAAGGCAGGCCATCATTGAGCATCTCATCTTTTAATCTTAATGCATCAACCATATGCCCATCCTTCACACAAGCTCCGATCACAGTGGTATACACAAATTCAGAAGGATCAAAACCTTTCGATTTCATCTCACTCAGGAGCTCGCATGCCCTCTTTGAATGGGATTCCTTACAAACTGCCTGTATTATCTTAGTATACGCACGTGCATCAGCCTTAAAACCCTTGTGAGACAAATCCCTGAAGTATGCCTCAGCCTGGTTTGGCTTCCCTTCTTTCAAGCAAGAGTGCATCATTATATCACAAGTACAACAATCAAACTCCATTTCGAAAGCCGACATTTCATGATAAAGATCTCGAGCCCTATCAAAAGAATTAAGCCGAACTAAAGCGGCCAACAGATCATTTCTCGCTTTGACACCTGGAAAGATCCCATATTTAACCATTTGGCTAAACGCTTCCACGGCATCGTCGATCCTCCCTGCATGGACATAAAAAAACAGCAAGAAATCGAAGGTGCGAGGTTCAGAGACATGCCTCTTAGAAGCATCGATAAGAGCAACCGCTACAGCGGAAGGGCTAGGGTTGGAACTGGCCGGGAGTGACTTCCAAAGCAGCTCATTCGCACTGCGGTGCATGTCGGAGCGAACAAGGATGTGTAAAAGAACGCAGAGGGAGTTCAATGCGAGGACTTCTACTTCCCGCAGCTGGAACCTTTGGAAGAAGCCCAACGCCGTGGAGGGTTTGTGTTGATACTTCATTAGGTAAGCGATTACCCTCTCCTCTGTAAGCTGCTTCCGCGTCTGGAGAGCGGCGTAGGGGTCCAAGGAAGAGTCTAGCTCCGACGTATCGGCATGGTATGGAAGGAAGGATGCAGAGGCCGTGGAGAAGAGGCTTAGGGTTCTGAATGAGAGCAGACGCCATCGGGAGAGGACCAAACAGGTGAAGCAAGTCGTCATTCCTACTGAAATTTTACACATTTGTGTATAATTTGTTTCAACGAAAGAAACATCTAAATTCTTTTTTTTTTTTTTCGAACTCGAAGAATGGGCAAGAGCTAAGATTTTCTATATGCTGTAATCTCAAGAGGTCCAAGGAAAAATCCTGGTCGACTCCTCCCTCTCCAAAACGAATTTTTATTGCGTCCTCCCACCTGACGTAGAGATGCGTCCTCCCAGAGTTAAAATCTCACTAAAAACGAGAAATACCAAGCAAATACCGAGCAATACCAAACAATAACAAGGAATATCATCATGTGAAGACCAATACCGAGTTATACCGAGCTATACCGAGCAATACAAAAAAATACCTAGTTTTTCCTAGAAAAAACTCGGTATGTTTTTGTATTGCTCGGTATTGCTCGGTATAGCTCGGTATAACTCGGTATTGGTCTTCACATGATGATATTCCTTGTTATTACCAAATAATACCTAGCAATACCGAGCAAAAACCGAGTTTTTTGGCGGTGGGAGGACGCATCTCTACGTCAGGTGGGAGGACGCAATAAAAATTCCTCCAAAACAAGAAATTATTATGTGCAGAGTCTGGACATAGTTCTATTTATAAACTCTAATTCAATGTCGTCACGTGACAACTCGACGACCTGACGATTCAATTCGAACCAAACGTGAAAATTGAAAAAGAAACGCGCCAATATTTAGGGTTTAGGTTATTGGTGGACTATTTTTGTCACCTGAGACAGGATTTCTCCTCAGAATAAAGCTGAGAAAGAAAAGAAAGAAAGAGACTATGAAGATGCAAACAAGTTTGGAGGAAGTTGAATTTTGCGAGGAGATGGAAGGTGTTAAGCAAAACCTCTAGGAAGACTTACCGTAGCAAACTACGGGAGATAAGTCGGGGATTTTATCGATAAATTCAAAACTTCGAAGAGATTTTACTATTTTACACTTGAAAATGTAGAGTTTTTAATGATTTAGGGTATATTGTTCAAATCTTTTTTGCATCTCTAAATTTATATGATTTTGCACATGCTTAGATATAAGTTTGGATTTTGTGTGCAAGTCCAGATAAAAACATAATTTGATATGTAATATTATTGTACGTTACCACTTTTGTGTACCATTATTTTGTACCGATGTGTGAAACTGATGTGAACCGATGTTGTGTATCGTTGTTGTGTACCTCTGTATACTGTTGTTGTGTACTACTGTATACCACTGTGTTTTTTTTTTTTTTTGTATTGTCATGTTTATATCATAATGTAAAATAACTTTCTCTTGTACACATGGAGTTTATTACTCTGAGAATGAAGCATATGATATATATTATCATCATGCTCATAATGTTGGTTTTAGTGTTAGCAAAGAACATCACAATTATGAAGATGAAGTGAAAAGAAGAAGAATGAGTACATGTACATCATGAAATTCATAAAAAAAATCGGAGACCTCTACTTAGTTTTACATAATCTTACAGTCCCAGCAAAGAAAACGAGGTCTAATGTTAGGGGCGGTACCATCCTTTCATTGGGGGGCTAAATTTAAATACTAATAGACTAATATCAAACTAAATGTGTGAACAAAATAAAATGTAAATAATTCTAATAAGTTTTAGATGGACATAATTTTTTGATGAATATTGCACTCCTAGGGTGGCATAGATTAAGGAGTAGAAAGTACCAAAAAACATGCTTTCAAATGATTTCATCAATAGAAGATTTCATAATTCCATTAACTTCACCAATGGAGAAGGTCATATATGTATCCTCTAAACAGTGGAAATTTATATGATATTTGGACTGGATAGGGAGACAAGGAAGAAGCTTTACCCTAGAGAACTTTGAAAACCACAAATATTTTATACTATAGATGGCAAAAAAAACATCCTATAAAAAATTAGTCAAAATCTAGATCCCATATGCAAAATAACCATAAATATTAATAATCCCAGATGATTTTCAAGAAAACACCAAGGAAAAATGACCGATAAAAGAAGAAACAAAATCCCATATTTGAAATAAAGTCAAAAACAAGATAGAAGGTAATTAGAGAGGAGTCAAACCTTGCAATAATTTGTATTGTCCTCCTCGACAACCCAGTCGGCCTCAGCTTAGAGGGATTTAAGGATATTTTTGTTGTTATAATGCTTGGGAAGCTTATAGTTGTCAAAGTTTCTCATACTAGAGAAAATATTGAAGATTCGAGGCAAATGCCTCCTCTGAGACAGTAGTGATTGACGAGTGCACGATCAGGTTTCCAGCATCAAGATGGTAGATTCGCGCAAAAAGGGGATAGCCGTAGGTATCACAGACAGAGTGTTTAGTGGAATCGGGCGAAAATACTTGAGAAATTATAGGTTAGGAAAAATTGTAACATGTTGGATGGGAAAATTACTAAATATCACTAATAGTAAGAAATATTTTACATTTTTTTTAGGGGGCCCCCCCATGGGTTGATCGTGGTTCCACCCATCTGTGCGTGGATTATTGTATGCTCTATAAACCAAATTTGCATGCAAATAGGTTGTTAGCCAATAAAATAAAGTCCTACAATGGACAGAGGTTCTAAAATGTTGGATGCACTCACAATTACAATATTTACACATCCATTTATGTATCTCAGTGGTTTGCTTTTGGCAAACTTTCTGGCAATTACATCGAACTCGACCACTTGGAAATCCCTACTGGAAGTTGGCCAGTTGTAAGATAAAAATTGATCTGCATGATGAGCTACATTAAGGATCCTAGGAGGGGCTCGATAGTTACGTAGTGGAAAGAAAGGGTTGGGCAATAAGAAAATGATAAATTTCTTCACAAGCTCAGGAATTGGAGTTGATTTGTCCAGCTTAGCATCTTATGTTCAATATCATTTGTGGATTTCCCAATTATTTTGGCACTTCCCAACTCGAATTCATTTCCTATGTTGGTCAGTCCTAGGATTAGAGCAACTTCATCTAAAGTGAATAGTAGCCTCCGCCCCTTGATGACAAAATACTGCTTCCTAATATCCCACAGTGATAACAACAAATACTCCAAAGAAATGTTCTGACCGAAGCGGGGCTTTAATAGAAACTGATGTATGTGTAGTTGATTTAGTCTATCCACAAATTCTTGGCCAAATGTATCAACCAAATGATCACATATTTCTTTGAATGTTGATGTTCTACAATGGAAACTTATCTTTGGAGCATATCCATGTAAAATTAGGTGTAGTGGTTAAGAACAATACGTTATCAACCAAAAATATTTTATGAACAAACATGTGAAAATATAACAAATAAGTACACAACGGTACTAAGCCATGGTACATAGCATCGATACACAGTGGTACACAGCATCGGTACACATCGGTTCAGAGAAATATATAATGAAGGTACACATAACTAACAAGTATAAAAAGTGGAAAAAATAACACTAAAATGTTCTACTAACTTCTTTATTAGAATAGTGAATAGTAGACATCGGTACACATCACTTACATGTATAGAAAATGTACTAATGTGACCTAAAATGTTCTATAAACTTTATCATGCGATATAAAACGGTAGACATCGGTATACAGCAGTACACATGGACACACAATGGTACACACCGGTACGCAAATAGTATATAAAACCTATTTCCCACATACACTCTATAATACACATATGTAAGAAAATGTCTTACAACAACATGCAAATATTTGAAACCCTAAACCTAAACCCTAACGTGACATTTACAAAAAGTAATACACGACATTTATAGAATAAATAGAACCAACAAATTTGGTAAAAAAAATACTTCTTTCTGGTAACAAAAAACTGACCTTAGCCACAATGAAAATCTAGAGCAAACAAAAGGAGCTTCAAACGAAGATGAAGAGTGCCTAAGAAAAGGAAAACTGAAATGCCTGGGTTGATTTTGAATTTTCCGCTGAATGGCCTTAATTTTTTTTTTAGTAAAAATTAACTTTTTGTGTCTGGTCCGTGTAAGGTCGTTGGGTTGCACGGTACGTTGGAAAGGACACAACAAATATCAAAATTTCATCAAGTCGGGTCATCGGGCCGCCACATGACAGCATTATGTTGGAGTCTAAATGTAGAGTTGCGTCAAAATTCCATACAGAATAATTTTTCCTCCAAAATTAGTATGAAAGGCGATATACTCAAGCAACACGGGATACAGTGAAAAAATAAAAGACTTGTTTTATATTTAGAAAGAAAAATATGGATATACAAGTGATATAATAGTGTAAACATATGAAGTGAATTATAAAGTCAATTCATTAATGAAATGCAAATAATTAATACATTCAAATAATAATAGTTCTAATATAAAGCAAAAGGAATGTAAATAAAATAAATAACATGAAATTAAGAAACTATACAACTCTCATAATTAAAAAGCATAATAAACTATTATAAAATATAAAATACTAAAATAAACTATTGATGATAACTCTGCTCTTGAGATGACGGTCCACTAAACATGTCTGTTGGACTTAATGTAAAAGAGATAACATGTGACACCCCAAACTTCGGGAGGTGCACACTACTATGTATTCAGTTCACCTATGTAGTATGAAAATGTATCAAGATCTCAAGAAACTATTTTGGTGGCCTGGTAAGAAGAATGATTTTGCAGAGTTTTTAGCCAAGTGCTTAACATGCTAGATGGTCAAAGGAAAAATATCAAAGACCTTGTATTTTATTGCAACCTCTTCTTATTATAAAATGGAAGTGGGAGGAGATTTTTATGAATTTTTCATTTGGCTTATAGAGATCAAAGCAAGGACATGATGCAATTTGGGTCATAGTTGATAGACTCGCCAAGACAAATTACGTTTTACCGATTAAGCAGAACTAGTCAGTGGAAAAGCTAGCAATGATCTACGTGGATAATATCATTAGATTATATAAGATTCCTCTCATCATTATGTATGATAGAGATGAAAGATTTACTACAAGGAAATGGAAGAAAGTGTAGGAAGCTTTAGGTAGAGATTAGATTTCAATACAGCCTTTCATCCGCTGAAAGTCAATTTGTCAGAGCCTACCATTTAGATGTTAGAAGATTTGATGAGATCCTATATTCTTGACTTTAGTGGAAGATGGAAATACTACATTCCACTTATGAAGTTTGCTTA